ATATTGATTATAAGTTAAGTTGGTCATGTTCCAATAAATATATGACTTGTAGAGCTGATATTCGGAGTTATGTCTTTTTTAACAATCTTTTCGAATTGAGTGGTGAGTTTTCCTCATTGTTCTTGTCGGTCGAAGGCACCAATACCGGCCTATTTGATTATGTATCCTCGTATAAAGGATATTACTATGCTATAGTGATTTTTTTAGATCTGTATCCTGGTATATAGGATGTTGCTATGCAGTAGTGATTTGTATATCTACATGTTTGTCTGTTAATTCATTATATGTTATCTGTTATGTATAGGTAGACATGTTATGGTTTGGGTTGAGGCTTTACTGATATGTGTGTGAGCTAACATACCAGGGGTAATCCAACCCAATGGCTATGGACCCAAGGGTATTCCAGTCTAATGATTGAGTGGACTCGTTGCATATTGGTATTCCAGTTCGATGACTGATTAGGCCAAAGGTAATCCAACCTGATGGCTGTGGACCCGAGGGTATTCCGGTTTGTTGACTGATTGGACCCATCATTCAATGTTTGTATATGTTATGTTGGGTGGTGGTACTTTAGGGGAATTCACTAAGCTTTGACTTACATTTTCGGTTTATTGTTTCAGGTACTTCAGATGACCACGTGATCATGCACATCCTTTATATTTTGTGCAATTTAGATTTTTGGGATACTCTAATTAATGATTATCACTTTTGAAACAATGGTTTTATATACAATTATTGTCTTGGGGTTGTTTTGGAAAAATTAAAATTTTACTCTAATATTCCAAATCAAATCTTGATGCTTCTATTCTTTTCCTATGATATTATCCATGGATAAACAACTATTAAGATATACACTTGACAAACGACAATGATAATAGAATGTAATAAACAAATTAACATTCAATGATTTATGTGGTTTACTTGATGTTCTATCAAGCTACTTCCACAAAAAAAACTAGCGAGATTCTTTATTGATTTGTTGGTATTATTTATAATGATGGCGAATTACTATCTCTCAAAATCTCATACAATATCTACTCATTCACATAAACATATTAGGGTTATATTAATGAGATCTATTTATAGATGAGTTGATCTTGGATTCAACACTTGGCCCATGAGCCCTTTTACAAAAGGACAACCACAATTTCTACTTGTTCCTAAGATAGAAATAAGTATTTTTGAAGTTTATCGAAGCTTCGATACGTTATAGTAAATCTAAAACAATAAGAAATCTAAACCATATATTGATTGTCATGAAATAATGTTGATTACACAAAAAAGGTATTAGTTAGGGATAAAATAATGTTGGGTTCTTCATATATACACCTCTTTTTAAAAATATAATGAGAGGTACTTCTTTCGACAAGCATAATGCAAGTGTGTTTGTATGTGTGTGTTTAGTTACGGGCTCTTAAAGGGATGTGATAGAAAGGAAGATGAAGATGCTTGGAGACGTGATGACTTTCAAAATGCAACATGGATTATGCTTTGGATACTTTAAATAAAAAAACATAGACCTAGTTAACTAGCAGAGACCGTAAATACGCTAGAGGATGAAGATCACATGGTATGGAGTTTAATGGACAAGGTCAATAACGTGAGATTGGAGGGTTGTCATTTGGTTTTACCGAAGAGGGAGGGATCAAAAGACAGTGGTGATGATTTTTACTATAGTTAGGAGCCATATAAATAGGATGAGTTTTAGGGGTGATCTTGGTGTGGTTTGGTGCAAATTTACGCTCAAACCAAACCGCAAACCACATGCATTTGTTTTTGTAATCTTAAACCATTATATATTGTTTTTCAAGTGATGTAGTTTTGTGGTTTTTTCTAGCAATGCAGTTTCAAGTGGTGTCGTCTTAGTTTTAAACTGCACAATTAAATTGAAAGGTTTTCCATTGTGGTGTGCTTTTGAAACGAAAAAAAATCATCCGAAGTTTTTGCAAGACCAAATACTAGAGACATTATCAATTTTAACGACAAAAACTTAATAAACATGACTTTGATTATAAAATTGGAAACTAACGAATCCGAGAAGGAGATAGTCAAATACAAATGGAAAATAGTGACCAACTAAGGAGAGGAAAATAGTGATCAACTGAGGGATGTGTGGTCATGTCTTGCCTGTGAAACTTCAATGGATTAAATAGAGAATAAGGCATGTATGGGCATGTATGGTATTTTCTCGTTGTCACAGAAGTTGAATCGCCGATATGATGGTATTTTTTGTAAAAGTTGAATCGCCGATATGATAGTATTTTTTGTAAAATCAGTATTGGAGGTTTGGAGATGGTGGCCTGGTAGGAGTCGCAACAACTCAGTAAGTGTCAAGATTATGTTTCCATCTTCAAATTGAATGATCATGCTTCAGTTTAGTCAAAGTCAAATGCATATTAATAAACTAATAATAGTATAAATGATATATTATATAATATAATTATTTAGCATTTTAATACATATTTATTATAGTGATAAAACCACACCGAACCGACTTTAAAGGTTTCAATAAATCAAAAACTGAACCATCGGTTTTTGTATTAGTTTTGGGTTTTTGTTTTTTTGGATACGTTCAGTTTTTGCTCGATCTTAGCGGGTTTTATATGAGAGAGATGGTCATTTTGTTTTTAGTTTTTCTTTTTCTAAAATAATAAATTATTTAAAGAAACAATAAAAATAAGAAAGACTGCATAATGATACTTTCACATGGGAATGAACAAATGGAGAAAGACCAAGGGCGTGTTCGGTACGGAGTATTTGGGAATGTTTGAGAGCTTCTAGCATCTAGCGTTTGACAAAACGCTTCGTTTTGAACAGAAAGCTCCGTTCGGCACTACAAGCTTCTAGCGTTTAGTTTAAACAAAACACTCCAAATAAAAATGTTTCTTCATGTAGCGTTTAACAAAACGCTATAAGCTATAAGCTACCCGCTACCTGCTACAAACCACCAGCTAGCAGCTAATTTTGCCGAACACGCCCCAAACCGAAAGTTGAAGGTACAACCTAAAGTGAATAACCAAACTGAACCAAATGATATTTGGTTTTGATTATTCGGTTTTCGGTTACTATGGTTTGGCTAACTGAATAATGATATCTTATTAAGTTACGTTTTGGTTAAATTTTTATTATTTTGATTCATCCAAACATTTTATATTAAATTGATAGACGAGTTACTAAAAAAGATATTCATAACTCATTGTTTAATTATTAACCATTATAAATATATAATTATTTTTACTTTCTATTAAAAAAACAACAAACAATTTGCCAAATGTAAATTAACCTCCTTTCTTTCTTTCCTCTTCATATACAACTAAAGATATATTGAAAAACTTCTATAATTTTGTCATTTTTTCCCCTTAATATATGATTAAAGATATATTAACAAACTTTTATAATTTGTGTGGAAGTATCGAGGCTTTAAGACAACTAATCGTGAAAGATTAAATAAATGTAATGTATTAGTGTAATTTTTTTTCATTTGGTAAAACTTTAATAAGTTCTATTTTAATTTAATATTTAACTTTACATACGAAGTTTTATTCGATTTAACCAACAAACCAAAATGTATAAACCGTAACCTACTATACCGAAATCGATTAAAATTAATCTTATTTGGTTTGGTTATGGTTATTTTAAAGATATATAAAAAAAAAATAAAAAAAAACAAAAAAACAGAACCAATTAAACTGAAAAAACCGACTGAATAGCACCCCTACGTACCAATATCAAACTAGAACCGAGTAAACAAATGGTTTGGTCTTCGGTTTTCTATTTCGTAAGATTTCAATTTCGGTCCAATCAGGATTCAGTCCATATGGTTTCGGATTTTCACCAAACCAGACCGCATATTGTAAGATCCCCAATTTATCGATTTATTACAATCATCCCACAACCTGATTACTATTGATGCAAAAGAAAATCGACCCTTCACCCTTAGTTTTCTCAACAATCGACAACAACAATCATCAAAACAACCCAAAAATCTATTTATTTCATTATCATACAACAAGATACCATCAAACAATCAAGTTTCTATGCCTATCTTGAAGATTAACAAGAAAATTGTAACACTTTAAAACTGTTGATACTGCATATTATATTGTCAAAACTGTATATTATATTGTCGCTGTTGTTTAAGATTTTAATTTCTAGCTTTGATATTTGCAACTATTCTGAAAATGTTGTCAAAGCCTATAAAATCTTTGTTAATTTTATAAAAATGTTAAGTGTGTTCTTACTCTTGGATTTGACAGTGGTACCATGCAAAATCAGTCCTAATTCAGTATTCAAACTGAAATCCTGAACCGGTAATCCGGTATGTATTCTCTGTATAGTACTTAGTTTCCACATTATCCCATTTTTAGTTTTGGTTCATTTCGATTTTGGGACAAGCGCTCACCCCTAGGCATATACTTAACCCCTATTTCTAAACGATGTTAGCCATTAGCCATATAGATCACCCTCACAATAAAATCAAAAGTCTAAGGATTATCCATGTCACAAAATTTTCATAAGGACTTTTGGTGGTATTTTTTTTGCCAACCACAATGACTATTTATGTAATTTTGTATATAAATATGTAATAAATCTTTCATATGGTATAATAAAAATGTAAAATGTGGTTACATAAATAGATTGTTAACCCACGTCATTACTAGGATCAAGCACTTTTTAGTATATTGGCTAAATTTTATACTTGAACAAATATAATACAAAAGTTTATAACAAAACATGGTACACAATATCTATAAAGCCTAAATCAAAAGCCATGAAGAACTCTGAAGTCAAATTTTGGTCGGATATATATATATATATATATATATATATATATATATATATATATATATATATATATATATATATATATATATATATATATATATATATATATATATATATATATATATATATATATATCAACATCAACCTATCTGTAACATATCTTCTCCCCCAGCCACTAACCACCGTTGGTTACCACAGCTTCCGACGATATCACCTTAATGTTTCTGGAGATTTTCAAGGCAATCTCCTGTGACCCCTCGTATCCAATTATCAAACGTTTTAATCTGTTTGTCCTCACCAATCATCTCCTTGAAGCAATCATTACACGTGTCAACGTCTGTGGAGATAGCGCTAACGTCAACATTAGCCTTCGGAAGGTCTTGCTTGTTGATGCTTTCAATACTCATCTTGACAGAATCAATGGCATCCTCAAAGTTATCCTCGCATTGTGCTAGGCACTGTTGTGTCTTCCCGGATGTTTTTGGGTCTGCCAGTCGTTTCGTCAGGATTGCTTTGAACTCATCGATTCTTTGTTCGATTGCTTGTAATTGTTTCCTTGCCAGTTTCGACCCTTCTATCTGAGATGCCTTCAATGCCTTGTTTTGTATACCAATATCACTCAATCCAAGTTTCAGAGAGGTTGAGCCTTCGGGTGAGGGCCCAGGTGAAGGGGGTTCGGAAATGGATGAGGATGGGGTAGGGGTAGGGGAGGGGGTGGAGCTGGGGGTGGGGGTGGGGGTAGGGGTGGGGCTGGGTGTTGGTGTGGGTGTGGGGGCAAGGTCTAAAGCTGAAGCTGCCTCAACACAAGATATGAAGAAGAAGAAAAATGGGGCAAAAATGAAAATGAGAATCAATGTCTGCCTGATAAGAACCATTGCCTCTAATCGTTGTTTAGTTTATTATGATAGTTTCTAATAGAGACAATGAGGATGAACGTGGGTTATTTAGAGGGGTGGGGGTGGATGGGGGTTCTATTATACTCTTTAAGGATTGGCACTTCTTAATTATAGATCAACTTTCTAAAAATGGAAATCGCATGGTTAAGGATACGAGGTTGAGGATCTCTATAGTCATACCACAAAAATAAAGAATATTAGATTTTAAATCAAATGTATTCAGTTTACCTGAATTTTGTGGTCGGCATTAACTAAAACGTCGATCCAAACCACCATCGTTTTTTTATGGTACCACTAATTATCATTAAGATGTGTATGTTAATGTATGTGTTTAGTGGGGGTATTCAAAACGAGATATTCAAAATTTTGGATATTTGAAAATTTCTTATAGTGAAATTTGATAATGAAAATTTTGAATATCCGAAACTTGTTTATCTATTATTTCATGTATATTTTTGATAATTTCAGTTTGAATTATCGGATTCGGATATTTTTGTGTGTTTATGTGATATGATATAAGTGTTTAATTATGTGATATAATATATTGTTTATAGCAATGTCTCAAAAATAAGGTTTTGAAATTAAACATTCCTCGGCACCCCCCTGACATCAGACCATAGTCCGGAAACATACAAATAAAAACACATGCAAGAATCAAAATGACATCAAGCATACAAACATTCATCGGGTACCGCCCTGACATCAGGTCGAAACTCGTAAATCATATAAACCTATATCTGGCCCCGCCCAGCATCAGACCTTAGTCCAAAACATACTAACATATATACACTGGTCGGCACTGGTGCCTTCGACCTGTTCCTACTGGAGGAAAACTCACTTCGAATGTCGGGTGAAATAGTTGAATGTCTCTGCACCACTTAGATATCTTTCTATACACAAGACCCCTTCATGGGTCAACCTTGGTCAAAGTCAACATCTAGTCAAAGTCAACATCCTAAGTTGACTCAACTCATCGAGTCATCCCTCTGACTCGCGGAGTTTCCATGCTTAGCAGAATCGTGATAAAACGAGTCAACTCTTTGAGTCCCTCCTAGACTCGTCGAGTTTGGCCCTTTACAAAGTCGGGACAAATCGTTCTAACTCGTCGAGTCCATCCTGTACTCTTTGAGTTTTTCCTTATACGGGGTCAGGGCATTTCAAAACAACTCTTCGAGTTCCTCTATGGAGTCGACGAGTTCTTTAGTCTGTTAAGCCATCTCAATGGGTTAAACCCATATTCTTCATATCTAAGCTTCATACTTCACATATACTCTGGAAATGTCCTTTTAAGGGTAAAGTTTCCAACTTTACCCATTATTAGCCTTGCATAATTGGTTTAGTTCAAACTATAATCCTTTAAGACCTAGATCTTGGTTATCAAGCCATCAATACCCCAAGCTAAAGCACACATACTGAGATTTGGACCCTAGACACTATATAAACACATAAAGCTTCCACCTTTTTCTCCATGAATGGCCTTTTGGAGCTTAAAAGGCCAAAATAACATCCTAAAGCTTGCATGGGGCTTTGATGCCCATAAAGTTTGCACCTTTATGCCATGAGAGCCCTTCTAGGTTCTAGATCTGAAGGTATACTCTCTTGGGATGTCCATTTCCCAAAGAATAAGCTTCTTGGACCAAAACCCAATAAAATAACAAAAAGCAGATCTAAGAAGTTACTAATCAAATTTGAGACTTGCTTACCAGAAAATGATGAGAATGAAATGGTATCTTTGGATCTACTAGCTTCTTCTTGAATCCCCAAGCTTCTCCTTCCTTCACAAGCTTCAAACACATACGATTCACTCAAAAATATCTCACAAGCTCACACAAAGCATTAGGGTTTAGTGATTTAGGGTTTAGGACTTGGAGGCTGGAAATGAGGCCAGCATGTGGGGATTAGGATGTTTAAATAGGGTGCAAAACCCCAAATTTAGGGTTTCACCCCTGCCAGCATACTCATCAAGTTGGGGCTCTCAACTCGTCGAGTAGACTTTACAACCCGTGTGTAATTTCCATTCCTACTCGACGAGTTTGGGGCTTCCAACTCATCGAGTTTTTATGATTAAATATTTAATTAAATACATACCAGGAACTGGGTGTTACCGGTTTAGTGTTATGTATGTACATGTCTCATAACCTGATACAACATCAACATACCAAACATATCAATATGGACATGCACTTTGTTTGTGACCGGGTTTTCTTGTGTTGAATAGAAGTTTTTCATGTATCATTGGCATACTAGTATGCAACCACTTTTACTAAAGGACTTCCAAAGTCGCTCTTTTATGATTTTTGAACCAGTTTGAACATCCAACCAAAACCTCTTAATTACATTGTACGAGATGTTAATGTATGTGTTTCATGTGATATGTTGTTTTAATCATCCAAGCCGCTTTGGGATAGATTCGGTTAATGTCCTTTTGAGGCCATTTTATTTGTAATTAATGCAATTGGGTATTTAAAGGAGAATACAATACGTTATTATAGGTTAATGTCCTATCGGACCTCGTAACACTCATGAGGCATGATTAAATATAAACGGAATGAATGTGGTTGTAGCCAAGTCTATAGATAAAAATTTTATGTATATATGTAAGAGAGAGAGAGAGAGAGAGAGAGAGAGAGAGCAAGAAATAGAGATTTACAATTCCCATCTCTTGTGGAAGAGAGAGTTGATGGGTATTATGAAAAACATATAATCATATGTGTACATGCAACCTAAAACTTTTGATCTATGTTTTCTATAATTGAACATACAACTTGAACAACAAAATAGAAAAAACCCTAGCATACTAGCATGATTTTCGAAATTCACAATTTGGGTTATAAGAATCATACCTTGATTGTTATATAGCAATAACAATGAAAATCCTTGTGTTAATGAAGCCTTTAGAGAAAGCGTCACAAGTGTCACACTTCTAGTGGTTCACACCCAGCACTAGCAATTGCAAATAATTGAGAAGGAGGAGAAATGCTTTAAATTTTTGTTGGATATTCCAAAGAACAAGTGGCTGAACATTGTAGCGTTTAAGTTATTTATATAGTGCAATCAGGAAACCCTAGATAAACCCTAATCCAAGATAATCTTAAACCGAGTAATTATCCACTTTCCTGTTTATCTACCAAAGACTATTCTAGAACCATTAGGCCATAAGAAAACTGTCCAAGCCTAAGGAGGGTTCTAGATTGCCTCTTTCTCAACTATTGAACAATAGCACTTCAGTCCATACACTTTTAATTAATCCTTTTAATCCCAAAACTAATTCCAATTAATTTCAGATTAAATATTACAATTTCGAAGTAATATATTATTTTCATAATATATTAACAAATCATTTGTTTCAATTTATAAATCAAATAATAATTCAACCACTTTCTCCAAAATCATCGTGTTTAGTTGCTAGTTTTGAGGGCACACCAAAAGGACTATGTTACTATAAGTTTAAGTACATACCAATTATAGTTATAGGCTTAGACACCTAGTCCAACAGTCTCCCACTTGGATAAGTCTAATAACTATAATTACCTGTATATTCTTCAATACTTATTAGCAAATTGTAGCTCTCAAAAGTTGTTGACGAACTCTGACCTAGTCATCAATTTAGTCATGGTCGGGTCTGACACTATAAGTCAACACCAAATCATCGAGGGGCCCAAAGATATTTGTTTTTCCCCTAAGGGTAAAAAAGCAGATAAAATTTGACTAATATGTTTGTGCTATTTACTCATCGGATCACACACAACAATATGTTTTATAACATCAAGTCACTGATGTGTTTACATATTATCAATGCATAATTTATTGGTAAAAAATGACTCATATATCTCTGTTTAAAGATTATAAGATATTTTTGTCTCATAATTACTCGTGATAAACTCCATGAAGTAATTCTCTGAGCGTGGGTTAATCTAATACTTAAAACTGTCTTATCAAACAAAATACTTTCAAATCATTTTATAAACTGACATCAAGTCATCATTTCTTAGTATTAAATCTTTCAAAGGTTTTACAAAACTTCTTTTATACTTATAGATTGTCAAATGCATGCCTATATATGTAGATTTATATAAGTAATGTTTAAAGGTCTCAGGACGGCTAGCTCACTTTATTTCCTTTTCCTCGTTGGGATGTGGCCTTAGAGCACCGGTTATTCGTCCGAATGTCATCTAAATATTAGTTATATATCATGTATACATATATAGACATAAAAGTTCCATCAGTCAGTTAAGTACCTTTGGGTTGCAAAGGCATACTTTCGGTTATACACGTACATTAATAGTAACTATAATAGGTATAGTTAGGAGATACTACTTACAATTCCAAGTACAAGGAATCACACAAGAGTCAGTTTATTCATGATTCTATACTAATACTTTACATACTATATGCATAGATACGTTTACACAGATATGTTTACAGAGATACGCTTACATGAATACGCTTACATGAATACGTTTACATAGATACGCTTATATGAACACGTTTACATTAATATGTTTAATAGATACTATTACATAGAATCGGTTACAAACGTTTCGGGACTTACCATTCCACCCCCAAGGCTGTAAGCTACAGTAGGGAAAATGATCACCGACAGGTGTCTACGGTTGTACTTTTCGGTGAGTTTCCACACCGTGAATATCCTAGTGTAAAAGGATACAATTTTAGTTATTATATTATTTTCCTTCCTTTACTTTGTGACACATTCACATGAACGACGAGGTAGGATATATTTGATATAGATAGACTATTTTCCTTATTACCTTTATATTGTGACACTTACACATAAACGATGAGGTAAACTATAGTTTTATAATAATAGTTAAACAAGTAAAAACCATCACATTTATAGTGATGCTTACTTGCAAAACAGTCGGCTCTTGGTAGAAGACTACTTACAAAACAGTCGGGTCTTGGTAGAAGACTACTTTCAAAACAATCGGGTCTTGGTAGAAGACTACTTACAAATCAGT